CCCTTTATTCCTACCCCCCGCCCCTATTTTTATTCGATACCTGCAACAAGAAGTGTGACAAAAGAAGGTAAGTGATCCACAACGTTTACCGCGGTATCAATCGGAGCCTTCAGGGCTCCCAGTGTGACGACATCACCCGGCTGGACATTGGTCATCCGGATGCCGTGTTGTGCGACTTCGCGCCTCATGCTGGCGGTCATGCCCTCCACGAAGTACTTGGTGCCTCCGTACACCGCGATGCCCTCAAACGGCTGAAGAGAAGGTGCCAAAAAAGAGGGAATTTTTAGTTTTAGTAAGTAAGTAAGTGTTTTCTGCACTTGCAACAATAAGGTTATTTTATAAGTGCCAAAGATTAGAGGTGTTACAAGAGAGTTAGTTTTAGTTTTAGTAGAGGTTTTATGGCGCTCACAACTCCATGAGGTCATATGAGCACCAGAAGATTAGAGGTGTTACAAGAGTAACAAACACAAAAAAAAGAAGGAGGAGAGAGAAGGACAATTGATGTTTGGTAGGAAAGAAGAAGCAAACCACACCAGAGCACCCAACCACCTAAAAAGAGTGAATTTCATTACAATGACTATAACAATGACAATGACAATGACAATGACAATCTTTATCCATCTCGCAGGGAGAAATTTGTCTTGGTCGTTTACAATGGCAGTAGAATCTAAATCAGAGGAAATAAAAGCTCAAGTAAAATAAATCATTGTGGCTACTGAGTGTTATATTCCAGATGAAGTCCTTCTTTCCCAAAGCAATGCGTAGAGGGGAGATCCTGGCTCCTTTTAGTTGTAGCAAGAGTTTTATAGCACTTGCAACACAATAAGGTCATATAAGTGCCGGAGATTTTGTGTTTTGAATAATCAAACTGTGGCAAACTCTTCTCTGCCAGAATTAGTCTCTTTGGTCATAGAAAAAGGCCATAAGTCATCTTAATCCTTATTTTAAAAATTTTTCTTAGCATTGGTCATTGTTCGACATTGATGGATAAACTATTATTATAACTTATTAGTGAAGATGGAGAATACATATAGCAAGTCAAATTAATGAACATTTTGTTGCTTTTTTGTAGCTTGATAGGAATTATTTTTTATGTTAAAAAAGACAGCAAATCTTACTCTTCTTCCAGAGTCAGAGGAAATGTTGATGATGTGTCCTGTCTTTCGCTTGACCATACTGTCCAGTACAGCCCCGATGGAGTTCAACACACCCTGAGAGAATAGAATATGTTTTAGATATTATGTAAATGTGCTACTTCTATGTAAATGTGCTACTATTTTGACTACAAAAAACAACAAAAATCCCCCATCTCACTCTGTTTCTGTTTTTGTAAGAGTTTTACGGCACTTGCAACACAATAAGGTCATATGAGTGCCGAAGATTAGAGGTGTTACAAGAGAGTAACAAACACAAAATAGCAGGAGGAGAGATAAAGACGATAGATGTTTGATAGGAAAGAAGGAGGGGAGATAAAGACGATAGATGTTTGATAGGAAAGAAGAAGGAGAGATAAAGACGATAGATGTTTGATAGGAAAGAAGGAGGAGAGATAAGGACGATAGATGTTTGATAGGAAAGAAGGAGGAGAGATAAAGGCGATAGATGTTTGATAGGAAAGAAGGAGGAGAGATAAAGGCGATAGACGTTTGATGGGAAAGAAGGAGGAGAGATAAAGCCGATAGATGTTTGATAGGAAAGAAGGAGGAGAGATAAAGACGACAGACGTTTGATAGGAAAGAAGGAGGAGAGATAAAGACGATAGATGTTTGATAGGAAAGAAGGAGGGGAGATAAAGACGATAGATGTTTGATAGGAAAGAAGGAGCAAGCCACACCAGAGCAATCACCAACCATCTCACTCAAACAAAATTGTATAGAGTGCTTCTGGTTATAACACCATTTCTTTCAATACAGTGGTGTCCAAAAGTTTAGTTTAATTTTAGTAGAGGTTTTACGGTGCTCGCAACTGCATGAGGTCATATGAACGTCAGCGGGTGGATGTCAACAGAAAAGTCCTTACAGGGAATCAGACTTACTCTGCTCACCTCTCTAGCTCCAACAGCACAAAGTCTGCTTTGACTATCAAGTCACCTCGGAAATAGCGGGTCACAAGAGTGTGACAAACATACAAAAAAAGTAGAAGAAAAATGACAATAGTAAGGATTAGGAAAGAAAAAGCAGCAGTTCCCTGTTGTAGATCAGGCACAGTTATGAGCGTGACATTGATGAATCAGCCCATTTACAATTCTACTGTGCATGAACAAGAAATGTCCCCCCTTTGGGAATGGCCTAAAGACACTACAGTCAGTGTCATCGCCCTGGGGGGGGGGGGGGTGAAGGGGGGGGCCTCCAAAAGAAATGAAAATGTAATCAACAAATCATCTTGTTAAAGCCTCACATTGCCTTCTCATGTGGCATACAAATTTAAAGCTAAATAAATTCTGCATCGTCTGAGACATTAATAATGGTCATTCAAAGTTGACATTAAAAAAATCAGGCTTGTCAAAATTGTCAGAAATCAAAGAAACGTAAAATTGTTTTCTCTATGCTATGCTTATTCCCTTCATGAAAATCCCAACAGCTGTAACCACCCTCCAGCTGGGTGGCCCTGCCTGTTTTACATTTATTATTATTATCATCATCATTAATATTATTATTATCATTATTATTATCATCATTATTATTATCATCATTATTAATATTATTATTATCATTATTATTATCATCATCATTAATATTATCATTATCACTATTATTATTATTATTATTATCATTATTATTATTATTATTATTATTATTATCATTATCATTATTATTATTCTCATTATTATCATTATTATTATATTCCCCACAGGTTTGCCAGTAAATCATTATTTATACCGTGACACCACGCTGTGCAGGGTCGGACATTGAGGTTCTCTCTAGAGCTCAAACTGAGAGGCAGCAGAGCACCCACTTAACTCTTTAAACCCCATCAAATGCTGGGAGTGTCCGGCGGTAATAACCCTGTTCCCCATTGGAGGATGGGAGCGTTCGATACTAGTGACAACTGTTTCGTTTTATTTCGTGCTAGTTTTTGCTTGTTTTTCGGAACTATTTCAGAACCAAGTTTTTTTTAGTAATGACTAAGCCTTTGTTTCCTTCCGCTATCTAGAAGTTGGAGGCAAGCTTTTGGGGTTATAATGAGACAAAATGCACCAGGTTTAGGTGACTCAGGGCTTAAAGAGTTTTAAAAAGTCAAACCACTGTCCCCTACCTTGCAGTTGATGTCAATCATCTCCTCCCAGGCGTCCTCCTTGAGATTGGTCATCAGGGTGTAGTACCAGATCCCCGCCGAGTTGACCACTATGTCCACTGGACCCAGCTTTGACTCAGTCTCAGCGGCCAAAGCTTTCACCTGGGGAACAGAAAAAGGAGACCAGATTAGGATCGAACATTAAAATCTAAAACAAACATTTGATTGTTTAGTTTCTTTGGTTTTAGTCAGAGTTTTATGGCACTTCAACACAATAAGGTCATATAAGTGCTGATGAATAGACGTGTTACAAAAGAGTAACAAACACAAAAAAGAAGGAGGAGAGATAAGAACGATAGATGTTTGATAGGAAAGAAGGAGCAAACCACACCAGAGCACCCACCAACCACCTACGAGCATTAAAAACTAAAACAAACATTCGGTTATAATTTTAAAAGAAACTTACAAAGAACTAATGGCCATGAACAAAAAGGAAAAGACGACAGGCAGAAAATGTAGAGGAACACAAGACAGACAAGTAATGTTGAGTCTCCTTGAGCTCACCAACTAGATAAGTAGTATGTGTTACAACGCACTGGAATCAGGGGCTCGTCAGTTTTGGGGCATATGGAGTTATTGGAGTCATCTTAAAGTCTGTCTATTTGCCTTGCTTTTGATGAAAAAAATATCCATTTATCTTAGAGATAAGTCAAGATATAGGCTATTGAAAGAGGTGGGGGTTGCCTGGTTTCAGAGGTAAGATTAGCAAGAAAAATGGCCGCCAAAGTTGAGTTATTTCCTTAGCTTCAGAGTCCGAGGAAACTGAAAATTTATATCTTTTATGCCTTTTATGTCAACGCTTTTCAGTAAAATCCACACCGAAATGTGTTCTTTAAAGGGCAGGAAAGGTGTGCGCAAAAAAACCTTTAAAAATTCGATAAAAATTCCCAACCAGCGGAAAAATGCTAGTTTCTTCACTTTCATTATTAGGAGGAGCGCCTGATTTCACCACAGTGCCTCACATTTGATCGCTTAGTTTGTTTAGTTTTAGTAAGGGTATTACGGCACTTGCAACACAATAAGGTCATATAAGTGCAGAAGAATAGATGTGTTACAAGAGAGTAACATACACAAAAAAAGAAGGAGGGGAGATAATGACGAAAGATGTTTGATAGGAAAGAAGGAGCAAACCACACCAGAAGTCACATTTTCACTCTTTAAAAAAATGGAGATAGGACAAAAAAATCACTGAGGTCACGATTTCACAAGTAAAAATGAGGCCAAGTTTGTCTTTCCAAATGGTTGCTTGATTTCAGTGGTTTCCAGAAATCTTGAACTACACCAAAAGTGGGCATTGCCCTACCTATAGGAGAAGTTTGGTTGCATTGGTGGGTATATATTTGTTTGGTTATAGAGAAAACTCTCCTTGTCTTTTAAAGAATCTGAACAAGGGGCAAAAACTTTCCCTTTGATTTTCTGTCAAAACACGATTTTTCGGAATAGCCCCCTTGTGCTTAAAAGCAACCAAATGTCAGAGGAGAAAATGCCGTGGCAGTTACCTGGTCCCTCTTTGTGACGTCAGTCTTCACCCCTATGGCAGTCCCACCCTGACTTGTGATCTCTTCCACCGCCTTCTGGAGGGCGTCCTCGCTTCTCGCTGCAAGGGCGACCTTGACCCCGAGTTTGGCCAGCGCAACTGCGGAGGCTTTCCCGATACCGGTGGACGCGCCAGTTATCATGGCCACCTTGCCAGACAGGGATGGTGTCTCGCTCACTGGCCACAAAAGAAAAGCAAATTAAAAGTTGTTAGTTTTAGTTTTAGTAAGACTTTTACGGCACTTGCAACACAATAAGGTCATATAAGTGCTGAAGATTAGAGGTGTTACAAGAGAGTAACAAACACAAAATAGAAGGAGGGGGGATAAAGACGATAGATGTTTGATTGGAAAGAAGGAGCAAACCACACCGGAGCACCAGCCAACCACCCACTAAATCAAAAGTCTATGAATAACCGAAGCTATCCAAGCTGACAATGGATTCTTGAGGAGAATTTTTTAAGTCGTAAACATTTTGGTAAGTTTAGTTTAGTAAAGTTTTTTGGCGCTCGCAACTGCATAAGCTCATATGAGCACCAAGGGATGGATGTCAACAGAAAAGACCAAACGGGGAATCAGGCTTACTCTGTTCACCTCTCTAGCCTCAACAGCACAAAGTTTGTTTCGACTATCAAGGCACCCCGGAAATAGCAGTTCATAAGAGAGTGACAAACATACAAAAGAAGTAGAAGAAAATGACGATAGTAAGGATGGGGAAAGGAAAAGCAGCACAGTACACAGTATGAGCATGACATTGATAAATCAGCCCATTAACAATTCTACTGTGCATAAAAGCATGTTAATATTCCCGCTTTGGGAATGGCCTAAAGACACTTCAATCAGTAGCACTGCCCTGGGGGAAAGGGGGGAGAGGGGGCGATTTGGTCAAATCATCACAATACGGCAAAAACACAACAGGGACATGGGAGTGGTTGTTCGCACAAGTGATTGTCTTATACAGGTTGTTCGCACAAGTGATTGTCTTATACAGGTTGTTCGCACAAGTGATTGTCTTATACAGGTTGTTCGCACAAGTGATTGTCTTATACAGGTGGCCTTCGGAGAAAGTTTGACTGTAGTTTCAAGGAAAAAACAAGGGACTTGAAAAGAGAAGGGATTGGTCAAATGTGTAGCGAAATGACAAAAAGAGTCACATTTTATTAAATACTTCCCTAAGTTTAACGATTTTATGTTTTTTTGGTCGATAATTACTTTTGTTTTTGCTGTAAAACATCATAAATTCAATTTACAGGAAGAACCAGGGGAACTTTCTGCACAATTTACATTCAGAAGGAATTCACTTTACGTGTAAATATTTGCTACCTCAGAGCTTTCTTGTTGTATCTCCATTTTTAATAACAGTGAAAACAGTTTATAACAAAGAGAGAGCTAAGAAGAAGTCACATTTTCGTCGTTAAATAAAAATGGAGATATATGACAAGAAAGCACTGAGGTCGCGATATTCTGTTACATTAGCATATGTAAAAGAGTTCAAAATTGAGGACAAGCTAGGCAGCTGCACACTAGTATGGTAAGGAGATAAAGTAGGCCCTAGATATCTACACTTATCCATGGGACGAGCAGAGAGTGTCACTCGACTAAGCTATCAGACAGACAGTCACAGACACTTGACATGAAGTCTATCAGCAGACTGTCCCTTGTTCCTGGGTTTTTTAAAAGAGGCTAGCCGTACTTAAAGACCGGTAGACGGCTGGGCCAGCCGTACTTAATAATGATGGCTAGACAGACAAACAGCAAAAAATAGGCCTACTGAATTGTAAATAAGTTCTTAGTTTACAATACCTAAAGTATTTGCATTTGAGACGAAACCAAAAGGTGCCTAATTACTGTGCATGTATTTTAAACCTGAATAATTACTAATGAGACCTGTGTACTCAACATGTTTCTAATAGGGCCTATAATAAATTCGGCTAGACTGGCCAAAGGCCTGCCTTACTAAAGGATTTTTTTTCTTAGTTATTGTAGTCAGTGCAGGAACCCCAAGAAAACAATGTATTTTGCAACAACTACAAGGTTCAACATCCCACAGACACAGCCCAGCCATTACATGAAAAATGAAACTGCAGTGACACAGGGCATAAAAATACAATCGACCTCTCACCTCAGGTGAGAATAAAAATACGACCGACCTCTCACCCTGGGTGAGAATAAAAATGCGACCGACCTCTCACCCTGCCCTGGGCGAGAATAAAAATGCGACCGACCTCTCCCCCTGGGTGAGAATAAAAATGCGACCGACATCTCCCCCTGGGTGAGAATAAAAATGCGACCGACCTCTCCCCCTGGGTGAGAATAAAAATGCGACCGACCTCTCCCCCTGGGTGAGAATAAAAATGCGACCGACCTCTCCCCCTGGGTGAGAATAAAAATGCGACCGACCTCTCACCCTGGGTGAGACTTGCCAGCATTGGCTATTCTCACCCGATGTGAAATAAGACCAGCTTTTCCTAATTTCTGAATACTCTCTATCGGTGCGGATGGTCAAACTGATAAAAACAAAGAAAAAAAGATGTTATAGCACAAAAGTAAACTAATTTGGTTGTCTACAAAGATGCTACGGCTATTTTATTTTTTTAATCGAGCCGAACTACGCATTTACCATTTTGTTTTGCCCGGAAGTTCTCGCTACTCCTTCTCTCTCTATCTCTTTCTCTCTAACTCTCTCTAATTCTCTCTCTCTCTAACTCTCTCTCTCTCTCTCTCTCTCTCTCTCTCTCTCTCTCTCTCTCTCTCTCACTGCCCACAGACAAAACTGCATGCCTTCAACACAAGAACGTTTGTCACAGTTTGTTTACACTGGTATTCACAGTGAACGCACACCCGGTGACAATACCAGGTTCGCCCGAGTCGATGCACTAAGCAGTGAACGCACACCGGGCGAGAATTGCCAGAAGATTTTTTGCCCTCACACCTGGGGGTGCCAACAGCTGCGCTATTCTCTAGAGGTGACCCCATGAAAACTGAAACTGAAGTGACACTACAGGGCCATTCCATGACAAACTATGACCTTGCAGTGACACTTGAACCTCAGAGACAATGACCTGCTGAAAACAACATCTCAGCAGCGACGGAAAATGATCAATCATTTAGAGACAATACTTTCTTCTAATTAAAAAAAAAAAATAAGTTCCATAACTCTGTTTAAAATGTTTTCAGCAGGCTTACTTCTTAAGAAAATTCTGACACTTCAAGCCACAAATAATAATCATAATATATCAACAATCCACAAGCAAACTCTTTTAATTAAACTTTCCCACATTTACATGACCCCTTCGCCTTTGCAGTTTGAAGAGTTATATAATGGTTACAGATCAAGATAAAAGTCTTCATTGAAACGTACAAAGTGTGTGTAATATCACGTATAAAATCAATAATAATATAATTAACCCAACGAATAAAACTTAGAAGTTATCTCTAGTAGTTGATTTAGCTGGGAAAGTGTAGATCTAGAAATCTAGTCATGAAAGGTAGTGTTAGTTACGACAGAGTGACGCTGTGACAACTAACACGGCGTTTTAATAGCGACAGAGTGAAACAGGGAGCTCTTTTATGTTGATGATTAGATATCTAGAATCTAACATCATCTAGATCAGTAGATCTCTACCATTTCCGCTTCGTTTCCCAGCGTGATGGTCCTAGTTATCTAATCTCCGCGTGAAAGGGAAGGCTTTCCAGAGCAGGCATTCAAATCTTACGACGAATTTGACAAAGCTTTAGCTAAATTTTAAAATTAAAATTTTGTTGCCCATAGGTAAGGAAGAAATCATCTGAAACAGTTGAGAAAGCGAACTTAAAGTGTGTGGCAAAAATCCACAGACTTTCTGTACAGTAGAGTCGACTTTATATCTGTACTACATTATAGACAGCCTAAATATTGAGGCAAGCAACAAATATTACAACAAACTATCTCCCCCCCCCCCCCCCCCTCCTTTTCTACCGGAGTAGATCTAGATCTAATGGTGGTCGGCTAATGTTCAAAGAGGCCTAGAAAAACTAGATCTCTACATCTTGATCTATGCCGAGTTGCCTTTCCTGAAACAGTGTAGCAAATATGTAGCTTAATCTACCTCTGGTTGTTGGAAGTTCTGATAGTCGCATGGGCAGTGTGTTTGCGTCTGAAGTCATATATATGTGAGGCAGCGTGATGGAATCAGGCTCTCGTCAATTTTTGGGCATGTAGAGTTATTAATATCATCTTAAAGCTTGTTCACTTGTCTTTATCTGGATGAAAAAAATATCCATTTATCTTGAATACAAGGCAAGATATTTGCGAATGAAGGGGGGGGGGGGGCCGTCACCTGTTTTCAGAGGTAAAATTAAAGGGAAAATGGCCGCCAAAGATTAGTTATTTCCTTGCTTAAGAGTCCGTGGTAACTGAAAAGTTTTATTTTTTGTGCCTTTAATCAACGTTTTTCAGAAAAATCCACACAGAAATGAGTTCTTTAATGGGCATGAAAGGTGTTGAGCCAAAAAACAACAATTCAATAAAAATTCACAAACTTGCAGTAAATGCCAGTTTCTTGACTTTGATTATTTTGACGAGAGCCTGATTTCACCACGCTGCCTCACATATATATAATTATTTTTATGAGTGTGGGAATGCACATTCTGGTCTTGTCCCCAAGAGGAGCTTTTACCAACAGAGTATAGTGACAGAATAGGCCTACTTTTCCTTTTACCAGTTTAGGCCTGGTTAAAGTTCAATAGGGATTTTTCTTGGTCTGTAAGTCGAATCATTTTATATTTTTTTATTTTAGCCCAGAGAGGCCAAATTTCAGCTCCTCAATTGCAAATTTTCTTCAGCTTCAGGGGCCCTCTTGCGGCCCCCAGACCCCTGAGAATTATTATTAATATTTGCCCTGGTTGGGCGTCCAGGGCCAAGCTGATTCCGAACATGAAATCAGTTTTGACGTACGGTAATTATTAAAAAAATTTTGAGTCCGAGTTTAATTCTGTGCGGCGGCAAATTTCAAAATGAATCTTCGTCATAGTGCGTCTCCCTCAAATCTGAACGTGATCCCACAGAAAATATCAAGCCACCCTTGATTTCTTGACAGTCTCCCAACCATCGTTCAATCGTCCAAATTTTGTACAATCTTGTGGTTACGCTTACACCTAACGATCTAGATTCTATCGTATGATCGCGAGATCGTCCAGTTTTTGTACAATTTATTGTTAACGTGTAACCGGGCCTTTATCGAATCTATCATCCAGTTTTCTTTCGATCCAGGAGATTCCTCGTCTTAAAGCCACCATGTCTCTTTGCGACGACAGCGATTTGCCTGTAGATAAATATCTACTCTACTCTTTGCAGTGGAACTCGGATTCAACGAGGTCGTTTGGCCTGACCTAAAATCTCGTTGAATCCGAGTGTTCGTTATAGCAAACACGAGGTTTTGTGTAGATAATTACAGGCACTGGACAAGTAATGTATAAAGAGAAGTAACAAGTATAGCCTACAATGCCTGCATATTATGAGAGCTGTGTACAAAAAAGACCGATTCGTTCAAATACAAGCCTGTGTCATCTCGATTGTTTACCAATAAAAAGTTGTGTTGCTGTGTAGAGCCGAGCATACGGCAACTTTTGATTCCATAGACCAACGCACAATTCATTACGTAGATTTACATCAAGACTAGCTTATTATTGTAATAATGATCAGTTGCC